TAATTTGCCCATCTGTAAGCGGACTTCCGGCGGATCGGCGGCCGGGTACGGTTTAGTAACGATGGGGGGAATGCATCGTTACATGTCAAACATGGATTGACAATCGTGCTATTTCTCTATCCCGTTGATATGATATACGAAATATCATCGATATTATATAGTAACGAAGCAACAAGTTACCAAGTCTAACAGGCACCCTTTGTCTTACATCTTGCGTATTTGTTCACTCTGTTACCTATTATTCTATTATTCTTGATCAACAAATGTAAATTCACTGAATTTATTTTTGATCAAACTGAATGATAAACGAAATATCGATAGTAACAAAGCAACAAATCTCACAAAGTCTAACAGGCACCCGTGTCTTACATATTGTATATTTATTCACTCTGTTATCTATATTATTATTGATCATCATACAATATTTAATTGCACGTATAATTTTAACTATAATTTAAACATATATATGCACATATGTATATATACAAATATAAAATTCTCAAAAAATAGGCGCCCGTTAGTCTTGTTGCATTACTGCTTTCTGCCACGAGAGGTCAGAAAGCATTTTCAGGTTGTATCTCGACCGTAAAGCGATACGTTAGAAGAACAAGGACAGCACGCGATTGTCGCTCCTTGTCTAGATTTATCTCTCAACGATCGCATCCGTGTGCTCAACGTATCGGTGTTTGTGCTTTCACGGATACTAACACATACGCGATGAAAGAGAGACAAAGACGGCGCTATCATCTCTCTTTGTCAAGCGATCAGTGTACTACCACTATCAAAAAGATCGAAAAGTGGATGTAGCACGGATATGAACCAAATGACCGACAGTATCGAAAAGTGGATGTAGCACGGACATGAACCATATGGAGATTTGACCGACAGTACCGAAATGTGAATGTGGGTAAGTGTTTCCAATTCCTAAAAGTGGATGCACCGCGCTGCTCTACGGCCTAGAAAAAGCGTCCCACGAAAATCGCCGGTATTGCCTCTCTCAGGCTTCTCTCTGTCCTTACTCTTCCTTCATGGCTACCGCGTCGCCTTTTGCCGCGCGCCGAACGTTTCCGCGTCCTGTGTGCAGAAGCCAAAAGGCATTCCCCTTCCATTTATATATGTTTTACGGGCTGCGTTCCGATATTCACTGATATTCACTGCCAGTACTGAAAATTTATAGTGTACGTGACATAAACTATAGATTTTCAGTACTGGCAGTGAATATCGGAACACAGCCAAGGTTTTCCTTCATCTCTATTTTGTGTTGGCCACCTTGCTAATTTTAACCGTCGGTTCATCTAATCCATGAAGGAAGAGTAAGGAGAGTTATCTACCTAGATTGAAAGTGGTCACAAAAAATGTTCCGTATGTGGCCAGGTTTGCCGAATGGAATAACTTGGACCATTTCGTCGCCATTTTGAATTTTCGTATATGTATAGTGTTACGTTTAGTTGTGGTAGTAATTAGTAAGTAGTGTGTCATCCAACACACTTACTGATCACTAATACAACTAAACATAACACTATATATGTACGAATATTCAAGATGGCGACGAATTGGTCCAAGTCATTCCATTTGGCAAACCTGGCCACATACGGAACATTTTTCGTGACCACTTT